GCAAGAAAACATCCAAAGAGATGACTGGGCTGTATTTGGCCATACAAACACTCCCCTTAACTCGACCCCTCCACGGCCAGAAGCCAATACCAAGGAGAGCGTGTGAGCAACACATAGAACAAACTGTCCCTCAGACAGATCAACATGAAGAGTGTTCAGCTGCCAAGACAGCATCTGCCAACCACCTAAACCCCAAAAGCATCTGGCGCTGGCCAACTTCCAAAATGCAAGGCTTGCACGATTTCATATTTGATGTGATATTGCTTTAATTTCTTCTCCCACTTTGCAATTGTATTTTATTTTTTAAGAACAGAGCAACAAATTATTTGCAAATGAGAGTTCAATCCAATGCTTGGACTCATTCCAGGAAGCCATCTAGGCTCTCTGGAGTATGTCTACCAAGACCACCTTAAATGAGCAAAGAATTAAATGCTGAACATTACATGTTTCACTTAAAGAGTATTCCCAGTGGAAAACAAATTTGGAAAAAGATCCCCTTTACACATGTAAATTAAGAAATAAGAGTACAGCTCTAGGAACTCTCTGATATCCTTCCCTTCAACTATAAAAAAACCCCACACCACATACACAAGCTGTATTTCCAAATTTCTTGACAATATAATGGCTATCTCTATATATATGTACATGTTTGCTCTAACTTTGAAGTTGCCCTGAGATAGGGTTGGACAAGACTGATGACTTCCAATGACCCCTTTCAACTAAATTATTCTATGATTACATGTAGAGCATACCCAAACATTACACAGCAATACATTATAGCCCTAATTACTATTTTTATCTCTACACGCAATTTATTAAGCTCTTTGTGTTCTCCTTACAAATTTGAATATGATTTCTACAAGCAGTTTACCATTTCCTACGCACTCAGAAAGGACTTTATGAATAACATTACAGTAAACTCAAGGGAGAAAACATGATAATTAAAGCTTTCAAAGTCTTATTTTTCACACCACCACCTATATTTGAGTAAATGGTGGTCAACCGTCCTTGACCAGTCAGAGGGAGTAGCACCCCGACAGAGGTATCCCAAGAGTTTTGTTTTGTTTCCTTCATACAACAACAAAAAAATTACAGAAAAAACAGGCCTACCTTGCCCTGTGAGCATAAGCAATTAAGTCTGTTTTTACCAGTGTCCCGTGGCTCCCTATTGTCCTGCTCCACCTCACCCATCATTGTTTTCCTGCCCCCCACCCATCTTAACAACCATCCCAACTATTTGGCTGCTCCAGTACCTGCAGGCACCATGATGGCTCAGAGCTCAGTACACAGACTGCCCAGCAGTTGCTCACATTTGAAGAGGTTAGGGACTCAATTATAACTGCCTTTTTTGGGTGGGAATATTAATTTGGCTCACTACCTGTCAAAAGTTTTATAAAAATTTTATAAAAACTGTGTACTTAATGTCTTTTAGTTGCCACTAACTTTGGTTTCATCATCTGAGAAGTGACTCAAGTGGGAGAAGACAGACAATGAAAGTAATTGTACAAGCTTTTTGCCCTTATTAAGCCTTGCTAAAAATTCACATAAACTGTCCGGCGATGAATCCATAGACAAAGCTGTTTATTACGAAAAGAACACCCTCCTAGATAAAAAAAACCCAAAACAGAACCCAATCTTTGACTGTCATTGCTTTCACTCCCATGGGTCATGAGAAAAGAAAAACATTTCTTCAACAAAATTTCTTCTATAAATCAGTAGAAGATACGATATTTAGAAAAAGTCTGGGAAAACAGCATATGTAGCTTTGGAGAATTAGGAAAGAAATTATGTCCACTGCTTTCCAGTGACCCCTGCCAGCTGTGACAGGAACAGCAGTGTTCAACTCCAAGAGCCCCGTCACTCTTCATTGCCTGGTCAACTGCCCCAAACAACGTTGATGGAATTCTTTAACACACCTCTGTCCCGCTCTAATACACAGCAATAACCAGTTTGAGTTCTTCCAGAATTCACACCAATGCCCAGCAGCTATGGATACACCTAGGACCAACTTTTTGAGACAAGCTGAGCTAACTCTGCTTTAGTAGAAATCCAGTTCTACCAGAATATCCGAAGTGCTCCATGGAGTTCCCAAAAATTACTGGTAATTTACTGGTATGTCACATTCCACACAATACAAGAGGAAAAAAATTCTAGTACAAGCATTGAATTAAACCAATTAAGTTTCAAAATTCTTTTTCAGGTGACTCAGGCTTGTGTTTTATCCTTTGTAATATTTATATCCAAAATAAAAACATACATTGGCAGTAAAACATAGCAACACAACATTTAACTGCACAAACATTCCACTTCAAACATGGATCAGGATCTTAAACGCACCAGTTCCAGGCACTGCTCTCAGCCATCACCTTCAGAAATGAAAATTGCTCATAAATACTGTACAGTGGAGTCTGTGGGGGTGATGTGCGTGCATACATCAGTTCATAAACACCATACTGGAAAAGAAATAAGACTTCTGAGAAAAAGATTATCCTTTCCAGGGAGTTACAAATAAAGAGGCAAATCAAATAAGATCACCAAAACCTTCAGAGCTACAGAAACAGCCAAAAACATACAGCTATTTATAACCCAGAGATTTATTCACAGAACACTTTTAGCCTCTTAACCCCAGGAAAACAAAGTCTCATGCCAAGTGCTAATGTATATAACAGAAATATATCCTTCTGCCACGTACTGACCACTCCAAGTGCAGCTAAAGATATTAGGATTCACTTACTAGGATTAACAGGTTATTTCAAGTGATGCACTTCTCCCTGATAAAACAGATACCACCATCTGTTTAACAGCATCAACAGGAAGATATAAGCAGACAAATTACTGATGACACACTGTATTTAGCTTCATTCCTATTAGAGAAGTCGTGTGTCCAAACTGTAAAACCAGCTGTATTTTCTGTAGGAACATTTCATCACTAAGAATTTCAGAACGTTAATTAAAGTTCTTTCAACAAGTTAGGTTTTCCAATTAATTACTTTTTCCTGTTAATTATATGACAGAGGGATAAGACACTGGCAAATTTGGAACAAAATGCAAGACTCAGCGGTACTACATTTCAAGTGACCAGTAACATCTAAAAGCAATAAAAGGCAAAACACCAAGCACAGAGCTTGACACTAAGGACTAAAACTAACCCTGAGTCTGATACACGTAAATCACACCCACTCAGAGACTATAGATGAAAACCAAAAGTAAAAGAAACAAACACCTGGATATTTCGACTACCACAGAAAAAATTTTCCTCAGCTTCTTTGTTTTTTCAAAGAAAAGACAGTAAATAAAACACCAGGGAAATGAATGTGACAGCAGGAACTTCACCTGATGGGAAGTTACCTAACATTTTGATTCCCAACTTGGAAACCAAGGGCAAGCAGCAGTCAGGTTGTCACTGGTCTAGGATGGAAAATGAAAGAAAAGGAATAAGGATTGAGAAAGAAAACATTGAAAGAAGAAGAAGGCACGTAAAACTCAAGAACACGGGAGATGAGGACAGAGGCGACTGTGAAGATGCCGAAATTCAGGACCTTTAAAGGGAAGAAGAGAACTCCTATCACCTGACCCGGGCACTGGGGCAGCGCTCGGTGCGTCCGAGCAGCTCCGCGGGGAGAAGGAGCCTCACG